CTCTTATACTTATTTGTTTATCCATGATTTGCAATATTATCTAAATAAAAAATAGTTTACATATTTTTTACAAGATATTTTTGCAAACCTCGTCAAGCTTATAATAAATCATTAAAATTTATGAATTTTTCTTTTAGAAGTAAAATGAGGGCAAACAATACGAGCCGATACAACGACGAAGATTTCTTCAGCGATGGCGGCCCTTGCCCAACTTGTCGACTTGCTATTAACGAGGAAACCGGTAGACTAAAGTGCGCAGTTTATGAAGTTAACTCTCGATTTTTTTGTTCTTTATTAATTTTTCTTCTTTTTTTTCTTCCCTCTCCCAATCATTCCCTCAATACATCAGATGGTGCACAGAAGGCGATGATACTTGGCGATTTCGCGTTAGATTAATGTTATTAATTCCTGCGGTGTTATTACCGATCATTATAATTTTCATAGCTTTATCGCGATCACAAATTACCGATAAATTAGCTCATCGCCGTACATTTAGTCCGATTCGCAATTCTCAAGAACAGCCGAAAAATCATTTCGTTGAAAATCATAATGCCTTGGAGCTATCATCCGCGAGCAAAGAAGTACAGCAATCTCTTGATGGGAATGAAGATGAAGATGAAATTCGTATCTCTGAAATTCAAACAAGTTACGTACCGCCAAACGTTCATTTTTTAATACAATCCTCGAAACGACGCAAGAGGCATACAGATGCGGTAATGCATATATTGATATATATATTATATTTTGTAATTATTACTATTATTGTGAAATATATTTTATAAAGAAATTCGATTCATTAGATCAAATCGCATTTGGTATATATATTTATTCATGTATTTATTTATATTATTTATATTAATTTATCTTTTTTTTTTTGTAGGAAACAACGTTGAAAAAGAGTAATGATTACAGTGCTATCAAATCGATCGATGAAATACGCGAGAGAATCCTACCTAATGAGAACAAACAAATAGTTGTAAGTAAGAAATAATTATATTAGGAAAAGTTAGCATAATCATATTGTAGCGAAGTTTGAGATTGATTTTAATGCAGATAGCTAGTGGTGGGGTCACTCAGAAAAAGTACATCGCAGGTACGTCGAACGACGAAATGGATTATTTTCTACTTGATTATAATCCAGAATTAGAATTTGACGAGCCCTATGCATACAGCGATATACAGGATTATGAAGATTACTCGAAGTTGGTACATCCTTTTCTCATTTTCATCCTACGTTTACGTAGCAGTCTTTCTAATCGCATTCTGCGTTCTGCGTTCTACGTTATTCGTTCCACATGAAGAGAGGAAAAGACAGCCGTGGAAGAAAGAGAACAATTAGATTTCAAATCATCGAATCAAAATTATCGGAACATTAAGGATGAGAGGGATGAACGATCGCAAGACCGAATGATCGATCATACCGAGCAGATTAGCACTTATTCCATTTCCATTGGCAACGCTTACAGAAGATGGCCTGATAATTACGATCGTCGCGATAAAGACGATTCAACCGATTTCCATGCTTTTTGGAAAGACGAAGGCAACGCGAAAAGTATCAGAGAGGCCCAAGGTATGCAACATATTGCATTTTTTTGCATATTGCGTTTTATATCATTTTATAATTAATATTAACAACTGACGCTTATCTATTTTAGCAAGAATAATGTTAGAATACATGGATAAAACTGCCAATCCGTGTCACGATTTTTATCAGTACGCTTGTGGAAACTGGGAAAAGCGTAATCCTATTCCAAAGGACAAGGCGGCCTACGATACCTTCGAGATGTTGAGAGAATCATTGGATATTGTTTTGAAAGAATTGCTCGAAGATGAAGTTCCACCTAACGTTCAATTAAATACCGACGACGCAACGATCAAAGCAAAGTTTCATTTTCAGAGTTGTATGAATTACGGTCAGTTCAAATAGACCTACACAAAGTATTCATTTCCCGTGTTTAAACGATTAAATGCATTTATCAAATGTGCCTAGAGATCTTGGAGCAGCGTATGGAACAGCCGGTGCTGCAACTTTTAGAGGAACTTGGTGGCTGGCCTATCTTGAAACCTGATTGGGATGCCGATAAATTCGACTGGTTGCTTTTGGTCGCACAGCTGCGTCTGTACAATAATAATATTCTTATTTCTGAATGGGTTGGTCCAGATATTAAGAACAGTGACCAATATGTTATACAGGTAAGAATCGGATGATGTAAGAGCCCTTAAACTTTGCTGATTATTTAAATACGAGTATAAATAGATAATTATGTAATTACTTGACATTAACGTTTTCTTCGATTTTTCTCGTAGTTTGATCAAACGTCTCTTGGTCTTCCTACAAGAGATTATTTTCTTCAACCGTCGAATATGATTTATCTAAATGCCTATAAAAATTATTTCATTAAAATTGTAACCCTTCTTGGTGCTTCTTTGCAAAATGCTACCGTTCATGCAAATCAATTGATAGAATTCGAAACAAAGCTCGCAAAGGTATAATAATATTATTAAAAATAATTCACGTTGTCTAAATGATATATGCATATGCCTATCAAATGTTCCTACATTTACATTAATATATATAATTCATTATTATGAATATATTTTTTCATAGATTACATCTTCGCCGGATGAAAGGCGAAACGTTTCTGAGCTTTATCAAAAAATGACCATTGCTGATTTGATATCGATAGTGCCTCAAATCGATTGGCACAAATATCTTTCGATCGTTTTAGCACGGTCCGTGAATATTTCTGAATCGGTTGTTGTATTTGCTCTACAATACATTCAAGATTTGGTCTATTTACTCTCAGAAACCGAACCCAGGTAAAATATTGAAATGAAAAACTGCTATTCGTTCTTACTAGCGGATACACATTAACGAAATATGAGATTCTAACTTAACTTATTGTCTATCTTTTTATTTTCTTAGAACTATAGGGAATTATATTTTATGGAGATTCGTACGACACAGAGTAAACAATTTAGACGATCGATTTCAGGAAGCTAAACAAAATTTTTATTATATTCTCTTTGGAATAGAACAAGCTCCTCCTAGATGGAAGAATTGTGTATCACAGGTCAATGCCAATATGGGTATAGCCGTTGGTTCAATGTTCGTTCGAAAGTATTTTGATGAAAAGAGTAAGAATGACGTAAGTTATTCGACCATGTGAAGAAAGCTTATTTATACAAAATAAAATATAAAAATATTACTTTTTGTAGACATTATCCATGACACGAGAGATACAAGAATCGTTTAGGGAATTGTTGAACCAAACTTCGTGGATCGATAAAGAGACGAAACAATTGGCTCGCGAAAAAGTTAATGCTATGCTTTTAAGAATTGGTTATCCCGATTTTATCTTGCAACCATATTTATTAAATGAACGGTATAAAGATGTACGTTGTTTACATTTGTTTTCGATTACATTATCCCGTAGAAGATGCTACTAATAACGTGTCCTAATCTACTTTGGTTTGATATACTTTTCAGGTCGTAATCCATCCAGAAAAATACTTTGAAAATACATTAAATATTTTACAACACTTGACAAGAGTGGAACAAGATCGTCTTGGGAATTCAGTTAATAAGACTTTATGGAATACCGCACCCGCAGTCGTCAATGCCTATTACAGTCGCTTCAAAAATCAGATAAGTCAGTTCCCTTTTCGATATTATCTTAGTTTTTATTAGATTTTAATTATAAAAGTATGGAGAACCTCGTCGTTACGCGTTATACGACGTAATCCCGTATATGGTCGCTTATACGGTCACGAATCCAATAGAAGAATGCCAATGCAATCTAGCGTATTTCTCATTTATTTACTTGCTCCCCCATCTCAGTGTTTCCAGCGGGCATACTACAGCCGCCCTTTTATCACAGATACTTTCCAAGAAGCTTGAATTACGGAGGAATCGGTGTAGTAATAGGTCACGAAATTACTCATGGTTTTGATGACAAAGGGAGATTATTCGATAAGAATGGTAATCTACACAGATGGTGGAAGAATGAAGATACCAATGGCTTTCACGAAAGAGCAAAATGTCTTATTGGTAAAATATTCATTAGTATCCCATTAATATTTAATCCATCTAGAAAATACTTCATTATCGATAAAAAAGTTCAGCTATATTTCAGACCAATATAGTCGCTATACGGTAAGCGAAGTTGGCGCACAAATAAACGGCATGAATACGCAAGGAGAGAACATCGCCGATAATGGTGGTATCAAACAAGCATTTAAGGTAAATAATATTCTTTCTCTTTGAAACATGATCGATAATATAAGAAATATTAATACATATTAATAATGAACTTTAAAATGATGATATAGGCTTATGAAAGATGGTTGTATATAAATGGCGACAAGGATGAGACTCTGCCTGGTATCAGCGCGACCGGAAAGCAATTGTTCTTTTTGAATTTTGCTCAAGTTTGGTGTGGTTCAATGAGACCAGAAGCTGCGAAAAATAAATTAAGAACTGCTGTCCATGCTCCTGGGAAATTTCGTGTGATTGGTACGTTGTCAAATTCGAAGGCTTTCGCGGAAGTTTTCCATTGTCCTCTTGGTGCACCTATGAATCCTATCAACAAATGTTCAGTTTGGTAACGTAGCAGTAGACAATTATCCAAAGTATATTTTCAAAATAGATCATAGATTGCTTTTATCAATATATCAATATATTTTGCAATAAGTTATCCTTTATTCAATGGGGAATATATTTATTAATTCGATGTAGCACGCGTTTGTCTTAGAAACTAAATGAATCTTAAATTAAAAGAAAAGTGAAAGACAAATAGAAAAAAAAAATAGGCAAAAGTTTTCTTTTACATTTCATTAGAAAAGCAACAAAATCTCTTATTTTATGTCTTCAAGAATGCGCTCATTCATTTATATTTTCTCTTCTTTAATATTATACTTTTTTCTCTACTAATGTTTAGAATTTTGTACGAATAATGAAAAAACATTCCATGTCACTAATGAAATATATTCTATACACGTTGTTAATGTTAATTACTTTATTACGTAATACTCACAGCGGTTGAAAAACGCACGAGTTGTTTCCACGCAAGTTATACACATAAAGAATTTTAGGTAAAAACAATAAAAAATTTATATACATTCCTTTATAAATAAATATAATATGTATATCTATATGTGTTTATATATGCGTATACATATAAGTGAGTTTTCCACGAGTTTTCAGTATGCGCACTTAAAAAATCACTTTTACGACTCATTAAAAATCGGAATGAAGTGTGTCTGCTGTTTGCTGTGTGTATGCTTATGTACGTAAGGGCTGGCTACATTGATTAGTCCGAAATATTTTCTTTAATTTCATTGCAACTAATTCTTTTTGTTGCACTTTTGAAATCAGTTCGAAATTGTTGTAATATCACAATTAATTTTAATGCTACAAGATGTTTTCCATCTTGGAAAAAATATCGTTTATAGGTGTATAAATCGTCCGTTCACATTCTATAAATTTGATACTTCTGTTTTATTACAATTTTTTTTCTACGATGGGCGTTAATTATATTGTCGTATATGCAAACAGTTTATACATAGTTGTATTCGTGAATTTATCAAATGTTTTTTTTTTATCATTTTACTTCCAAAATCTCCCCTTGTTTATAAATTGAAAAAGAAAATAACTAAGATTTAACGAGACATAGCATTTGAAATAATTTGAAAAAAAATTACTCTAATAATGGAAAGCTACAAAAGTATAATTATTAATAATGATTAATGAAAGTTATGAGATTTTTCAAATGCGTTATTAAACAGAGGAGCCGATACTGGATGTACTTACAAAAATTAATAAGCTCTATCGATCTGCACGTATTTGCAGTAATTTGTAATATATATATTTATTCTCTAAATATATATACGCATATGCGCGTATATGTATATAGAAAATACTGCATAAATAATACAACCCCTAGTATTGCAAATGCTTTGTATGAATTAACACAAACCGTAACAACATTTCAAAAAAGGACACATTTGTCACATAGAGATTCCAATTACCTTAACTCTATTATGTATAGACATTATAAACCGTTATTACATGAGCTTGGACATTTTACCTTCTACAGCATTTTATCAAAATTGGCCTATTAAATATATAAACATATGTTTCGCGTGTGCTACTTCCGTCCACTTAATAAAACGACGTAGAATTATATCATAACTTCCTGTTTACGTCTATTAATGTCATTGCGTATACGTATTACGATATAACAAATATCTTCACTTATGCAGAAACTGGTACTCCAAAATGTCTTCTTCATCTGTAAAGAATAAAAATATTTCATGTTCCAAAGTATGTAATGTCCCATATCTACTGCACTAAAAGGGCGCTATACACTTAAATACACACACATTCTGTTGCAATTATGTTTGTGCAATGATAATTCATAAATATAATCTATCAAAGTGTATATAATAATAATAATAATAATAATACAAATGCAAACATATCAAATGCTAAACATCAACGGTGCAAGAAATTTTGTTTGTTTGCTCGTTCGTTCGTTTGTTTTTTTTTCTCGTCGAAAGAATACTACCCTCTCTGTAAATTTTAAAATAATCGTTTGATTTCAAGATAACGGTCTGTACCGAGATTATTTTAACACAAATATCCAAACCTTTTAATTGTAATCATTCTATATTCTTTAATGGAATGTCAAAGTAAATATGAAAATAAAACTACACTCACAAATATTATCTCTGGTATTGTTGTCCAAATTACTTGTCCGCGTGCGACATTCTTCGTGCATACGTCACCCTGCATAAACCATCAGCGCAGCACAAGGCACAAAAAGGACTCTATTATGTCTTTGACATAATAATCATCCATATGCATACAACAGCAATCAAAAAATAAATTGAGTCGCTATCAATTTTCAAAAGAAAAAGCAGTCGCGACCTTTTAGAGCAGCAGAAGTGAAAAACAGAAGTTAAACCAATGATATGTCTGCGAACCACAAAATGTATAAATAAAATACAGTGCGTTTAAAATATAACAAGATATTTCAATAATATTTCTCATATAATGATTTAATTAATTTATAAATGAGTGAATGAGAGAGAGAGAGAAACTCTTGAGGTGCTCAGACATATACCAAACCTGTCGGCAACATCAAATATTTTTATATTTTACAATGATTAATAATAATAATAATAATAATAATATGATAATATTGACGAAGAACTTTTGTAATTAGTTTTTACGTTACATATATATAGATAAAGATGCATAATTTGTTAATTTAAAACATTTCATTTCACTATGCAATTTTCCATATAAGTTACAATGTGTTGATAATTAATTAATGTTTTACCGTTATTAACTACCATATTAATAATTCATTTATGAAATCTTCTACAAACTTTTATATACGTTTGACGTCATTGATTATTATTCGTTAAGCAATTTTTTGTCTCTATATCTACCATATATACAATACATATATAAACGGGTTTTCAAAGTATGCCGAGAAACATGCTGTAATATCTAGAATCAAAGATTATTTAAATTCAAATAATATTTGAGAAAACTATGTCAAATATTCTCATTTAGAAATTATTTTTTGACTAAATCGAAATTCGAGTATAATAATAAAGTTCTTTTTGAAAAATTGCATAGAGTTGATTTTACAAAATTGTTCTTCATATTATTGAAACAACAAATACATAAAATTTGCAATAACATATATATATATATATATATATCCGATATATATATACATTGAACGAATTCATAAATTTGAAGAGAAAATGTATTCTAAATACTATGCAGTGCATGAAAAAGAATCAGCAATACTGTAATATAATTTTCAAGTGAACACAATTTTATATACAATATTTGAATTCTAGGAGTATGCACAAAATCATATTTTCAATCATGTTGTTTCTTTGTTTAAATGCACAAGGTGTATAATAAATAAATTTTACATAACAATGAAAAAAGAAAATGTAATCAAAAATATCTCTTACAAGATGGAATTAATAAGTGCATACACCTGAAAAATATGTGTACAAGTTTTCTAGTTTCCTTGCACTTTTAACATGAATAAGATGGCACATTTAATATGAGAATAATGATTTAACCTTATATACACGTTATCGAACCTTTCATGGTGTAATACCAAATAATACATAATACGTGAACAGCTTTTTCCATTCAAATAATTTTAGGTGTTTGCAATAAAATAAAAGCGTGTCACGCGTAATAATAATAATAATAATAATAATAATAATCATAATCATAATCATAATAATAATAATAATCATAATAATAATAATAATAATAATAATAATAATAATCAAACGATGCATCAACTATTGCATAATGTGCCTTTATAAATTCGGCATATGCCTGACTTCACACATTTTTCATCATATAAAGATTCTCTAAGGCAACAGTTGGTGAATCGTTCAGTACATGGAATAGTGTATTGTTGATTTTAAAGGAATAGTTGGCCCATTGTCGTAGACAGTCCTAAAATGCAATGAATGGAGAAATATTAATATTATTACAGACCATTTATTACACACAGGTACACATGCACTATATGCTATGAACAACTTATTTTGACATACATTTTTGTCAATAGTGTTATTTTTGTGATCATGCTTGTGCTCTATATTTTGTGCTATCATGCTTTTGAAAGTAAAATTACTTTAAAGATTAAAGCGTATATCACTGACTATTTACTACAGAAGAAATGTATGTCCAGTGATAAATAAGTAACTAAAAAATATTTCAATTTTGATTAATGTTAATGTACTAATAGAAAAATAGTAGGCCATTTATATATATATATTCAATGGATTTTGACAGTTATAGATAAATGAAGAAATAAATATGGACATAAACATGAGGGTAAATTATTGAAAAAATTTTTAGCAAGAGATTGGCTTTAAACTACATAATATCTTTATAAATTAGTAATGTCCAAGAAAATGGCACTCATTTGATGTACGAATCGAAACGTTACGTTTACATTATAATTATACCGAGTTTTAGTCTACTACACAAAAATGAACTACTAGTAAATCACCCTGGTTAACAACTATATATTATACTTGTTATATCTTCATCCAATCTACACAAAGTTTGACAGTAAATAGGACGTCTGTCAAAAATCTACTTAATTCTAAATCTGTTTGCCACTTATCCTTTTTCTTACCATATTACTATTACTATTACTATTACTACCATTGCTGTTATTATCGTTACTATTGTCGTTTTTTTGTTAATATAGTTACTATCAATGTCAGTATTGTTATTGTCTTTAAAAAATAAATTTAATCTATTCATATAATTAAAACTAATATCAACATTAATTGATATAAATTTCTAAATATTTCAACTTAAAAATAAAAAAAGTATTAATAATTTAAATATCCTTTCGCGAGACGGCGCGAAAATTATTTTATATTATACTTTCAGCTTAATCTTGAAGCTTCGTTGTACTATTAAATTATTTATAGAAAATATTTTAGACAATAGAACCAATGAAAGACTGAGATATCGTTGACATGACTTCAAATTTGTTTAGATTATTTTAAAATCGTCAAAGATACATATAATATATCGTACTATTCCAAGAAGTTATTACGTAAAAGGATATTATTAGTATTTACATTTATGTAATACATGCAAACATTGAAATAAAAATATGTTAAATAAGTTTAAAATGAAAAATTTATTGCAGAATAGTGTGCAAACGAAATGCAAATGTGAATTATTACACGTGAATAATTTCCAAAATATTGCAGGCTATATTTTTCAAATGAATGAATGCTATACTATCATGCAAGGAATGATATTGATCATAACTATACTAATAGATAGATGTAGTAATTAAAGTGTATAATGTATTAATACAAATCGTAAAAAACATCTTAAATCAATATTCAAAGTACAAGCCACACAATGTCAAATTGATATATATACATATATAAATATATATGTATATATATGCATAATCTTGTACTTATTATTAATTCATGACATAAGATGATATCGCATAACATTCTATCATATCCTATATTCTCAGTCAGATTTATAAATTATCTATTTACACGATTCTAGCATCTACATAACATCGACAAAAAATTCACAAGGATTGCCCATCGCAATACGAAATGACTGTCTACTACCAGATAAGTCTTGTTGATTTTGTTGAGTTCCTGAACCAGTTCCTGTCTGTACCGATTGCTCGGACCCACTGGACCGACTATGGCTTCCATTAGACCTTTTACCATTCGAACCATTCCCATTACCAGAATTCTTACTTGGCATACTTGGCACAGATGGGATATGTAATTCCGATTCAGATGCTGAAGAACAAGACTTCAAGTCGTGGATAGGTTCCTTACAAATATGTTCACTACCTGCACTGCTACCACCTGATAAATCGATGAATGGCCGTATAATCGGCAGGGTAATATTTTCACCATTATATAAATGTATAATACATAACATATAGCTAATATTCTATAGATCGTATGTAAAATAAAACTTTGTTATATAAATAATAAATTTCAATTGATAATAGATCTTACCTGAACCACTATGAACACTTTCTTCTCTATGATATCCATATACAGTTGGTTCGTTAGTAAAATTAAATGGCATTGGACTGTAACCAGTCGCAGAATGAGGTGCATATGTCCCTGAGTAAGGCATGTCCCAAGCATTAGGAGGTGGTAAAGGTCCAACCGTGTCACAGTCCAATTTCATGCTGCTCATAGCAGAACACAAATCACCAAATATGTAATAACATTGTTCAGAAAACGTGATCTTATTCACAGTATGTCTGATGAATCCAGCTTTTAGCATCAATGATGCGTATTTTCTGGCTTCACGACGATCAATAATTCCTTCTACGTGTGTGCTAAGCCAATCAACAACCTCTGCCCCAATAAATGCGTTCGGAATTGTTATTTTAAGCCACATGCGATCACGAATTTCTAGACCCGAATCTGGACGTGCCATAGCACGTACTATTGTTGGCATATCTGTATTAATGGTAAGGTGAAGTTCCTCTAGTGGTCCTATTAAAAACAAATTATAATAATAAATATTGTAAACACTTGTCTTGACTACCTAATATTAACCCTTTGCGATCGGATGCCATTACGATAGATTACTATAGAGAGAAACGTGCAGATAGCAAAGGGCTAATACTTTTCAATTCACTTTTAATTGCATATTTTAAATATACAACGTTATTTATATGAAAACTTACGTTCTGTATCTGGTAGAGTACTAGCAAGACTACTCGATGTGGATGTTAATGTTGTTGCACTTGGTGGACGAGGTGGGAAACCTTCGCCTCGTATAGCTGCTGTATGTGCCACCCATGCACCCGGATCTATAGGACGCACCGGCTCTGTTCTTGGTATGGTAAAATAACCTTTCGGATTTGGATCCCAACATTTAGCAACAACTAACTTGATTGGTCTGTGAAGCAAAATGAAAAATAAATTTGTATATAATAATTATAAAACTATATCAATGATATATTTTATTATCTTTAAAAAAAAAGCATCCTGTTTTTTGATAAAATATAATGTACATATCTTATTGAAAATAAATAAGCTTTCTCTTACCCTGGTTTTTGGACGACTTCACGTAGAACTCTTACCGCCTCATCATTAGACATGTTCTCAAAATTAATGTCATTAACTTGAAGAATCATGTCACCGGGTTCTATTCGGCCATCTAAGGCTACAGCTCCCCTATACAAATTAATAAATTTAGCTTTATGGAAGAATACTCAATGAAGTGCGTGTGCTTGTTAATATTTAAAATATTAGGGCTCTGTTCTCATATAAATAATACAGAGAATTATAACATCATTTACACATATCAATTAATCCATAATAATGCATAGCAATGATACCTATGTATTTAATAAGAAAACACAATTTTTAAAAGAGAATAATCTGATTAAAAAATGCTCAATTGGTTAAGTATCATACCCTTTCATTATAGATCCAACATAAATTCCTCCATCTCCACCCTTATTACTTTGACCAACAATACTTATTCCAAGGAAATTTACAGTATCCATATTTAATGAGACCGTTATGATATTCAAAGACATTGTGCTATCTGTGATACTGCTAAATGAAGAAGTTCGAGACATAGGAGGTAATCTGTGTCTTCTTCTTCTTTGAGGTCTACGTCGATCTAATATAAAAAAGATTAATATGAAAATATATGTAGATGGACAAATTTATAAAAGTAATTGAAACAAAACTAAAACGAAATAAAAGATTCCATTAAAATGTAAAAGATATTACATATTAACCTAAAGTTGCTCTGTCAACTGCACTACTCATATTAGTATGACGACCTGTTGTCGATGTAATACGACTACTCGCATCATCATCCGATTCTAAAAATGTTGTCGTTTCTAGATCTGAGCTCAATATAGAGGCAGTTTCATAGCCATGACCGGAACGATGCTTAGAATGACCATTTATTCGCAATCCTATAGAAAATACCCAAATAATAAACAATCAATTTAAATGTGTATTTTTTATCGAATATATTCTTCTCAATCTACATTTATAAAAATATGACACAAACCATTGTATTTGTTATATTTTTCATATTTGTCTGTATGATGTCTTGAACTTTTATGTAAATGATGACCTTGTCGGCTACTTATAATACTTTCAGTTTCTGTTAAGGTATCATCGTGCGAAAGTGGTGGTGGACCACGATTTGTATGCCCTGGTGTTACATGATCAATGCGATCGTGCTTCACTTCACTATGCGCTACAGAATCAGTGCAATGTGAAACACCATCCGATACATTACTGCCTTCAGCAGAAACCAACTATTAAAAAAATGCATTAATGTTTTAAAATTGAATAATATATACATTTATTTATATATATATGCTATGTATATTCTGTCAAAAGAGATTAATACATATATCTTTATAATATATAATATATGTTGATCGTATTTTAACAAGTTGAAATATATATATTTAGGAAATATTTAATAAATAAAATAGATGAAAACGATTGATGTTAGTATTCAATGATGCTCCACAAAAAGTCAATAAATAATTCACTCTAATGTTTATAACATATGTGACGTATCTACCAAGGTATATTTAGTTTATGTAGGCGCGCGCGCGTGCGCGCATGTATAGGAGTGTTACCGCGTGTGTCTTTTATAGTGTCTTTAGAGATTACAGACGTTTTTAAAATAATCATTCAAATAGAGATCTCTTACCCATGAGACTACTCGTCCATTGAAGCATGGAAGATGTGCATCGTCGTCCACAATCTCCTCTTTTACAACCCTATAGTACAAAAATAAGATAGACAAAATGAAAAAATTGTTCACATATAAACACACACACAAGGGAATATATAAATAATGATATTTTAATCGAAATAAAGTGTGTTATTGGAGCATATTATTAAAATAAGAAAAAAGATATATGTAAATAATTAAAAAAGATTATCCATTTAAGAAGAGACAAGTAATTAAACAAAGACTAAATAAAAGTATCGCACATATTGCATATATGTATGTGCGTGCATAAAATTTGATCTTGAAATAACACATAAAGCGCGTATCTTTCTAATGGCTTGACATTTATCTAAAAATTATACAAGTATATCGAATAGAACGTTTTTGAGTTGAGGAATCGACAAAATGTATTTAAATATACGCTTGAATTAGATTCTATTAAAGATGTTTATATCAATTGAACACCAACCCGAAGTCATCGTCCATTGATTTGAAGAAATACTTGTAATTCGGTCGGTTGAGGACATTTTTAAAATCTGCCAAAGTCACCCTCTCCGGCGAAATAGTCAGTTTGACCAAATAAGGTGTCTCTTCGTCGTCAATATGGTAAATTATTTTGGTTTCCTCCATGATTGTGAAATAAATAATTCTACGTTGATTTGATAGAGAAGTTGTATCAGTCAGGCCCCCACTAACACGAGCAATTGTCTTAAACCAATATGGCGCGTTGCAGTTAGAGCCAAAGCCCTCACGCGCATCGAGTTTAGTAGTAGCATATAGTCATTAAATAGACACACCAAGCACCCTTTGTTAAAGCATTCCAATATGCAAATAAGTCACTAAAATCTATTCCTTATTATTCCACTAATTATTTCTTTTTGACTATTCATAGCTTCCGTATCCTTCAAATAAACGTCAACACTCCTGCCGACGTAATCACTACAGCGAACCTTCCATCGCGCCCCCACTTCGCTTCTATCACCTAAGAAAATCCGCTGATGGTGCTGCAATCGTGCCTAAAGAAACAAGATAAGAACGGAAACTAACGTTTAATGCTTCTTTTTTATTATCAATTATCGACGTTCCAACGTTGACTTACGTTATATTCATTAAAATCTAAGATAGAAGCTTTATTCTCTTCCATACGCGACGTATCGAAGTAGTGAAATTTTGTTACTAATCGATAAAACATATTCTAATTGCGTAGGGAATTTGGTGTTGCAATCGGTGCTGCGCCCGCTAATACACCTTCATGCTATTTCATTACGGTACATATCCGTGATTGATTGTGCGCGTTGAATGTTTCATATTCGAGATAAGAACTTGTTTTTTCGATCCTTCCTATGCAACAAATATTCAAATAAATTTAAAGGTGCTTACAAGTTCATTAAAGAAGATACTTATTCTTTCTGTTTTTATCATCATTTTATTTTTATTTTTAACTACTTTATTTTTTAAATTCCGTATGTATATTACTTACTAGTTTCCAAGTCATATAATGCTAACTTTACTAAATGCTAAATTAACTAAATGTATTATTTAGTTATATTTTAATAACTTGAACATATTTCTTTAATGTCTTCAGTTCCTCCAATTATTTTTCTGCAATAAAAATGGTTATACATATATATTTCTATATGCGTGTATTTTTATACATATATATCAACGTTTAAATCTTGGCAATTTATAGATTTTCTAAATATAATGTCTTACCAATGATTATTTGAAAATCCAAATAGTAGTTAGAGGATTGCACTAGATTAGAAGTCCACACGACACATTGAACTGTCAACAATCTATTTGCTGCAAAATATTTCATAATATATTAGAAATATCTTTTTAATAACAATTGATTAATGATATTAAAAATAAAATTACGTGTCAGATTTGGAAATTGTAGAGCAACTATGGGAGATACGTAATCTTTTTGTCCCTTAAATGGAAAATATTCAATGGGAAAGCCAGGATTAGGAATATATTCAATCTTTCCTATATGCTCCTTGTCTATATTGTCTAATCCATTGCAAGATAACCAAATGTAGACCTGATATTGAAATGATATCAAGATATAGTCGAAATCAAATATTTATATTTGTATCTTATCTAATGGATAATATATATCATACTTGTTTCGATTTCTTAATGATATTCTTCAACAAATTTGGCATAGTATGTGGTAACACAGAAGACTGATTATAATAACGTGGAATCCAATCAAGTCTCTATAATGCGCGACATTAAATACCGATAAATATTTATTTTATGTATATGTCTATCCAATAAATAAAGATTAATAGTATATCGTGCCTATATAATCGCGATATAATATTATTGAATTTACTTTATTGAATTTAATTAGAACACAAGGTTGAATCGGTGTAGTATATCCGTAAGGAGGTTTACCGCAAGTACCCAAACTCTTTATATTGAAAAAACAAGGCTTTAATTTATTATCTACTCTCAATTGACCCTTATTGCATTTTAATTCTTGTTGGGAGGTATTCATTTTGTAATCTGCATAACATGGTTTAACATTAATATTTTTCGTATATATATATATATATGTTTAGCAAATTTCACTCGCATATAAACCTTTTAAAAAGTCTGTTAAAGCTTCAGCATATCGTCTAGATCGAGCATTTTTGTTTTTTTCGCTTATCCAAATGATCGGCGAAGTAAGAGGTAATGGAATGTTTGGTTTGTAATCGATTCCTGAATAAAATGTTAAAAGGTATAGAATAAAGGAACAATAAATGAAAAAAACAAAGAATGAAATTGACGATAAACCTGGATTTTCAATAATCAGAGATGTTGGCAATAAACGAAGATCTTGAAAAAGATTTCTAACTTTGAGCAAGCCACTATATATAAAGAATGGTTTTTTTATATCCTTTATGTGTAGAATACTCAAATGCATATGTAATGCGAAAATTGCACCAAGGACGCCAAAAAAGAAGAAGTAAAAGATGACTACTTCGCCTGTTTTATACATATAGAATCACCTTTTTGTTTTTTTTTGGTTAATTACATAAATAATTGTAATAAAACAAATATTCTATTTAGAAAAAAGAAATAATACAAATAGATTATATTTTTACCCCATTCTTTTGCAGTTCTGTCGAAAACTGTCTTTTTCTCAGCATTCCAAATGAATCGCAATAAATTTCCAATCCGGCCTAAATCCGGTTGTGGTTTTCTACTTTTATAGTAAGTTTCATCGTGTAAAATTATCATCATTTACACATAAAATAAATGTATTTCGTAATTGTCGTATTTATTAATAGTAAATCAATTATTTTTGTTGATTGTGAAAGTAGCAATTGTTTATATAAGGTGAATCCCCTTGTCATTTTTATATCGATTAAATATTCAATTCTGTGCATACGAATGAATCTATTTCTACGTATATTTGAATAATTTAATTGACAAAAGAATATTTTTTTTTCTTTCTATTTCCTCTATACAAAAGGAAGATACTTTTATTTAAAATATTGAAAATTTTTGGACACGTCTAATTAAAAAATACAGGTACATGTGCAGGTATGAGTGGAGAAATCAAGTCGATCGATTTTGGCATAAAATAACCAATAGCAGGATATTTTATACATTATCCAATAGCAATGTAAAGTTTAGTAAAATCGTATCTCGTAGTTCCTAGTAACTTTTCAAATTGTAAAGCGGCCAAAAAAGTAATTGCCTTTGTGCTCAATTGAAAATGAACACATCGGTCAGTCAGCTGACCCGTCTTGTGATAGCAGCCACCTTATACCAGTTGTGTCGGCTGGATTCGCATTACGAGACGCTAAACGTCGTTGTAAGTTATCCATTCTTACTCCATTTTATTTCTAATATTTTATATTCTTTTACCATTTTTAACATTCATTCAAATATTTTCAATAACTATTTAATCGATATTAATGAATCGATAGTATATACGAAATGCATTCTCGCCTAGTATCGATCGATTTACGTTGTCTTACGTTTTTTTTACTTCAACGATTTATTTTTGTATTCTTTTTCTTATTTATCTAATAATTAAATAAATTACAAAAAGACATATTTACGTCTTTCTTAATTCCATTGAATAAATTTTTCTTGTTTTTATCACAATGCGATTGATAAATTATTCATTGCTTATTAAAGTCATTTAGCTGGTATTAAGTGGAGGGCTACGCCTATTTTTCGAATATTGCTCTCACGTGAGTTTTCGAAAGATAATCATTGACAACTCTTTTCTTCACCGCGTATAATATGATTAATATGAAATATTATGTTTGACGATTATATTACGAGCGAATCTTTTTTTATTTATTCCTTTTTTTCTTTTTTTTTCTTTTTTCGTAAATATATAAACTGAAACGTCAATAAATGATAATTAAGATATACTTCAGTTATGTCATTGATGTAACACCTCAATTTCATAATCATATGTCGCACTTCATTTTTCAATAACTTCATATGTTATTGATTTTTTTGAATTAATTATTTTATTGCAGGTAAATACCACTTGATATATAAATAAATTCACAATGACGAGCCACGGGCTGTCAAAAATTGGACAGGATGAGAAGGAGTCAAAGTATGGATATGTTTATGCTGTTTCTGGACCTGGTTAGTCTATATTATATTGTTTCTTTTTTTTCTTTAAATAAAATCAATACAAAATTGCATTTATAATTTATTTCTAGTTGTTACTGCGGAGAAAATGTCAGGTTCTGCCATGTATGAATTAGTTAGAGTTGGATATTATAACTTGGTAGGAGAAATTATTCGTTTAGAAGGAGACATGGCTACTATTCAGGTATAATTTATGTTATATATTTTTCAATAAATTAAGAAATTATTTATATATTCAAATATATATATTTATGTAGGTATACGAAGAAACCAGCGGCGTAACTGTAGGAGATCCTGTACTTAGAACAGGAAAGCCATTATCTGTAGAATTGGGTCCTGGAATACTAGGCAGTATTTTTGATGGTATTCAGCGTCCGTTAAAGGATATTAATGAACTTACTAATTCCATTTATATACCAAAGGGTATTAATGTACCTAGCTTATCGCGTACCACATCGTGGGAATTTAATCATTCGAACATAAAAAATGGCAGTCATATAACCGGCGGTGATCTATTTGGTATAGTTTATGAAAATACGTTAGTGAAGCATAAAATGATTTTACCTCCAAAGAGCAGAGGCACCGTTACTTACATCGCACCGAATGGAAATTATACGGTCGATGTGAGTCAAGATCTTGCCTATTGTAAGGCTAAGAACTCTTTTAAATGAAATGAGCTTTAAATGAAGTATTTCATTTCATTTTGCACTCGCATCGTCGAGTACCCAAACTTAAATACCGTCTCTTAATATCTTTTTTTGCTTAACAGGATGTCGTATTGGAGACAGAATTTGATGGCGTTAGGCAAAAGTATACTATGCTTCAGGTAAAATTAATGGTCATCTAAATAAAGACTTTTTTGTCTAACTGTAACAAAGGATCTCTATGATAAATTTATTTTTAAATTTAAAGGTATGGCCAGTACGTCAACCCCGTCCAGTTACGGAAAAATTACCAGCCAATCATCCGTTACTTACCGGACAACGCGTATTAGATTCTCTTTTCCCGTAAGATAAGATACAAATTGTTTGATAATATTGCAAAAATAAAAATGATTGAAGTTAACAATGTAATTTATATCTTAGATGCGTACAAGGAGGAACAACTGCCATTCCTGGAGCTTTTGGATGCGGAAAAACAGTTATTTCTCAAGCTTTGTCCAAATATTCTAACTCTGACGTTATTATATACGTAGGATGTGGTGAGCGTGGTAACGAAATGTCCGAAGTATTACGTGATTTTCCCGAATTAACGGTGGAAATCGATGGCGTGACCGAATCCATCATGAAACGTACAGCTTTGGTAGCTAACACTTCCAACATGCCTGTCGCTGCTCGAGAAGCTTCTATTTACACTGGTAAAAATATCTTGCAGTTTCTTTTATTAATATATTATTAACATTGAATTTTAGAGCATTAAATAATAATATCAAATGTCGCGCTTATATTTGCAGGTATCACTTTATCTGAATACTTCCGAGATATGGGTTACAATGTTTCAATGATGGCAGACTCTACTTCTCGATGGGCAGAGGCATTGCGTGAAATTTCTGGTCGTTTGGCTGAAATGCCCGCAGATTCTGGTTATCCTGCATATCTTGGCGCTCGATTAGCCAGTTTTTATGAACGTGCAGGACGGTATGTGCAAATTTTATCGCATTCATTCAAATTATTCTAAACTGATGATAATACGTCTATCTATTATTTCTATAGAGTTAAGTGCCTGGGGAATCCAGATAGAGAAGGATCTGTCAGTATCGTCGGTGCTGTGTCTCCACCAGGTGGTGATTTCTCAGATCCTGTTACGAGCGCTACTCTTGGTATAGTACAGGTAAATAATACCTTGCTCATTTCTTTTTTCCAACATTGTACAAAGGAATAATTTATAATTTAATATTACATATATATTACGTATGTTTATGTTTCATTAGGTTTTCTGGGGATTGGACAAGAAACTTGCACAACGCAAACATTTTCCATCTATTAATTGGCTTATATCGTACAGTAAATATTTACGTGCATTAGATGATTTTTATGACAAAAACTTTCCCGATTTTGTGCCACTGAGAACAAAGGTAAAAGAAATTTTACAAGAAGAAGAAGATTTATCTGAAATTGTACAGCTGGTTGGTAAAGCTTCCCTTGCGGAAACAGATAAGATTACATTAGAAGTAGCTAAACTTTTGAAAGACGATTTTCTCCAACAAAACAGGTTAGTCTATCGTACACTGCATCGTTAATGTATTAATTAACTTATGTTATATCATTTTACTCTAATATTTCTTTTTTGTTTTTAGTTACTCCCCGTACGACCGTTTCTGTCCATTTTATAAAACTGTAGGAATGTTAAGAAACATGATTGCATTTTATGATATGGCAAGGCACGCGGTAGAATCTACTGCTCAATCTGATAATAAGATTACATGGAATGTCATTCGCGATGGTATGGGAAATATTCTTTATCAACTAAGTTCAATGAAATTTAAGGTGAGTAAATACAATAAAATGAAATATTTCCTTCTCCACATACATTCAAGTATTTTCCCGGTCAATACAAATCGAATCAAAAGAAATTATTCGCTTGACATGTTATATGTATATATTTCAGGATCCTGTGAAAGATGGAGAAACTAAGATAAGAGCTGATTTCGATCAGTTACATGAAGATATCCAACAGGCATTCAGAAATCTAGAAGATTAATTTGTTACGGGAGTTTCAACTAGTAATGTCACTTGCAACAATGTTGAATTACTTTCATTTTTAGATAGTATGATTTAAGGACGTCCCGGTTTAATTTAAAAGCACGAGGAAAAATTTAACGAAAAATAGTTCCACACTTCAAAAAAGAAACAACAAAAGAAATGAAAATAATTGATCATTTTCATGAAATTGACCATTTCTTTCACAGAGTAGCAATAATGTGTAATACATTAAAATGTATGCTTCTTGTATATTATAATATGCATAATAATGCGCACCCTTATATTGCATATAAATACGCCTAAGACAATAAAGCGGGATGTTCTTAGATACCTCTTTGTGTCACTTGGAAATGTGTTAAACATTCTTATATATTATACTTGCATTACATGTGATAGAATCACACTTGTATAATTAGGAAATGATATAAAATTAGAAAATTTCATTTTGCAATCTATTTTTATTGCTTCCGTCTTCTATGCATTTGTATAATACACATATGTGAAAATATCGTGAAATGCTTCCTGAATATAAAAACAATGATAAAATGCAAGAGCAGGCAATTATCTAACAGTTTAAATGTACAATGAAGATACAAAATGATTTTTCACTGAATTTAGGAAAAGCTGCTTTATCGTTAAAAAGACATGTTACCACTAGCTGTATAAACTATACATTATCTTCTATTTAAAAAGAAGATTTTTGAGCATAGAATCATTACTGTAGAACGCAAAATGAAATATTATACTATATTTGTTGTTTCAATAACTTTGACGTTAATTCTATTATTGTACAATATGTAAAAAGCGAATAAAAATCATAAATAAAAGGAATATCTTTATCAAACAGTAATATTAAATAAAATAAACATCTTAATCGTCACTTTAATCTGATTATTTTAATGATGCGACGACGTCAATAATAATTACATAACAATGTAATACTATATACATTAACGATATATTACAATTATTTTCTGCGTAATTAAAATTTAGACGTGTTATTTACTAAGTATGTGCATATATCACATTGTTGTTTACACGAACGTAAAAGTATAATTAATACGTTTTACATTCCATTCTACTTTATTGTATATCTATACTTTACAGACCTCGCGCGAGTTAATATAAAAGATTTATTAAAAATAAAATATATCCAACACACAATATTCACAAGTATTTAACTGCATATTCGCATGTCAACAAATATTCATAATTGAAACTGCATCTGTACGATAGTCAAAAAGTGAGTGTCTATCATTTCCTTAGTTAAAAATGTTATTTTTAATGAATCTATATCAAATGCCAACATTTGAATAATAACCACAGATAATTTAGCACAAAATTCTTTTACGTAGTATACTAATTAACTGTAATACCGGATCAATTTATTGATTTACACACATGTAGAAATAAGCAATATATTTATAAACATGAAACATAGTAGTAACAGATTAGACTCAGTGGTAGATTTGGTTGCAAATTTTAAAATATACAATATCAAATGAAACACTATTCAAATTCTCTTTTTCAGAATAATTTTTCATTTCAAAATGAATTTTTTCTCTTGTAATATAAATTAAGAAAGAATATTTAATGTTATATTACATGTAAAACTTGAATGTGGAAATTAAATGTTTTAATCTTGTCTTTGGATTAGAAGACATTTTTTTATATATTAAAATATTGCATCGTATTTTCATAGCGTGAGTAACCACACTCATCCGCACAAACATTTACACATGTTCTCAGTTTTCGGTCATTCCTATTACTTTCAAAATCCTAATTAAATGATAGTTGAAAAATAACAATTATTATAGCACAACTTATATAGTTGCAGTGCTTAAATAACAATATTAACAAAGTATACTTAAAACCACAGCATATCAAATGATATTTGCTTATTAACGTGATTTGCATAATAACGTTACATAATATATTATATATAATGTATAACGTTATTCATAATTATTTATTAGGATATACTAATTTTTTATAGTTAATTAGATGTTGATGTAACTTCGAAATCATAGAATTTACTATAAGTTGATTTAAAGTTTAGGAAACAGCAAACAATAAAAAAAGGAAAGAAACAAAAAAAAGAATAACTAAGTAAATATTTCTAATTCATATACGACAGCTAATATTTACATGTGAGACTCTTATTCAAAATTACGAACTTAAATGAACATCAGCACTTGTCCCTGACGATGAAGACAACTGTGTTCGAAGTTGTAGGTTTTCACGCTTCAGTTGCGAAATAAGCTGCTTTAAAGCAGTTATTTCTTGTCTTAATTTCTCATTATCTCGTAAACATTGACCCAATCCTTGATTAGCTGCACGTAATTCGCCTATATACTCACAAGCCTTTGCTAAAATCCCTCCTTTGCTCTAATAAAGCAAATCAGAAAAATGTCATTCATTTATTTGTTGCAATAGTACTAGCAATATACTGGCAAATACGTTTATGGATAAATGTATATCTACCTAATCTGTTTCCTATTACCTGGGTTTCATAGTTTGCCTTTCCTTCTCCACTATTACCACTTCCAGTAGTATTGCTGGTCGCATTACATTCGGGTATTATTTTTCCTAATCTTGCTATCCAATTATTGATTTTATCTCTACGCCGACGTTCAACTTCATTATGTGTTGCTCTTCTTCTATCATCTCTCTGAAATATGATTTCAATTTGTCCTCTGTTTAAAAGAAAATGAAAACTTTATTCGATATAAATACCTTTTTTAAGCCGGTAGTACAATTTCGTGGTGTTTCTATTTGAAGAGTAGTAGTCCTAGGAACTAAAGACCTAGATGTTTGAGCCGTAGTGAAAACATCATTAGCATTGCCAATGACATAAAACTGTCCATTTAAAGGAGATGTTAAAACTTGTACGGTATTGTTTCCTGCTTGTCCTACAGGCAGTTCTATTTCATTATTGCTTGAATTACCATTGACTTGAACCACTCTATATGCTAGCGCTTCTTGATATCGCATTCCATTATCACCGACTGCCTCTGCTAATATATAAGCATATATACATATTTATATATATATGTATTTATATATAGAGAGAAAGAGTGGGAGAGAAAGATTTTATGCATGCTTACAAAGGTTATATTCATATAATATATGATCAATTTTATTTAAAAAGATAGAATTAGAAGTAACGTTTGAAGTAATATTAATGCATATTCCTCTCTCTCTCTCTCTTAAAAATTATTCATTATAATATAATAGGATTGAAAAAATAGGTAAGATTTACCCTTTTACCTTCACAATCAACAATCTCTGCTTCTTCAATAACAATTCCTGTTCCAGGTTCTTCCTTTGATCCAACCGTGCTGAAAACAAAAGGCTTTATCTGAAATACGTTCGTATAAAATATCACTGCAGTTACAACTATGCCTATTACTTCCACGACTCCTGTCGTCCTACGGCTGTAAGTGCGCACCGTGCACTATCTGGTGACCTTGACGAAACCTCAGGCGGAACAGGAGGAATATGTGTTTTCATCATTAACCAGCCGATAGTTAATATAAACGCTACCTGACATCCTGCTGTTGAAGGTGTTGATCCAAAATGTCCATATTATCCACCAAAAATGTTTGAATTTGCCAAAATTCACGTGAGCTGGTCACGGGACGCGGCAACGAGGTCATGTGGTGCACAAGATGGCGATTCTCGACGTAGGCACCATCTATTGCTATTGTAACCCAAAAATGAACAACTTATCTACGCAGTAGTTGATCAATTCCAAATTCACAAAATGGTGAACGCATAATTTTCATTCGTATTCGCAATTACATTACATACATACAAAAAATTAAAATATTATAGAAAATAATAAAATAGTAAAAATAACAATAAAATGAAGTAAAACGAAACATTAAATTAAATTGTGCGGTCATTAAAAAAGATCCAATTAGAATTGATACTTGATATAAAAATTGTCTTTGCATTTTTTAAAAATTCAATTCCAAAATTACAAGTTTCCCGCTTTTTCATAAAATCCCTAGAAAGAGAGTAAGACAAGTCGTGTGTGAAATGTTGATGTTGGCATACTGATCTAACCCAGCGACAGCTGGGCGGTTTGTCAATGCTAATAAGATCATCAAAGATTTGATATATAATCGAAATAGTATCGTTTTTAATTATGTCGAAATACGTTTTTAATATATACGTAGGACAATGAGAGTATCTGACATTGTTTTATGACAAAAAGTATTATTTTCTGTTGACGTATAGTTGTTACTATGATGTTCACGACCATATCTATTTTATTCCTTTTTATTTTATGCAATATTAAAGGACAATTACTATCCAGCCATCCAAAGTTATTAGTAGTGTCATACGATGCTTTCAGGTATATAACTTTTATTTCTGTACATTCTTAGTTGTCAAAGTTAATGGTATGTTTGAAGATTACATTTTTTTCTCCAGATATGATTACTTTAATAGAAATGTTACGCCTTTTATGAATAAGTTAAGGAACGAAGGTACGCATACTGACTATATGATGAATATTTTTGTTACTAAAACTTTTCCAAATCATCATACAATGGCAACTGGATTATATCCAGAAAATCATGGAGTTGTGGATAGTGAGATTTATGATCCTGTATCGGACAACGTTACTAAATACTCATCTAAACTTTATCATTATGACAATAAGATTCTTCCAATTTGGACAATTAATGAACAAAATGTAGGAAGGCATAGTGGTACTATGATGTGGCCGGGTAGCGTATTTGAATATGGTGGCATCACTCCTGCTTATGCACAAGTATAATTCTTTATATTACTTGTGTAATATTGAATGTCTTATGCGTACACGTATAGTGCATTATTTGATGCCATTGTCTTTTACAAATGATTATTAAATATTAAATAATCATTTTTTTCAAGGGTTTTAATGATACTATCAATTGGGAAGAAAGAATAGATACGTTGATATCATGGTTTCTACATCCCACAAAGCCAATAAATTTAGGAATATTGTATATAGAAGAACCAGATTATCATGGTCATTTCATTGGAATAAACAGTCATTCTTTTAATAAAATTCTAGAAAAGTTAGATCAAATTACAAAATATTTACATATCAAATTAGAGCAATATGGCTTAAATGATGTTAACGTTATCCACTTGAGCGATCATGGAATGACATCTGTCACATTAGACAGAATAATAGACTTGAATAAGTACATTAATAGTACCGATTATATTTTTGTTGGAACATCTCCAGGTTTACATATTTATCCAAATCCTGGTAAATTAATGAAATTTTCATTTATAATAAAGTAACTTTATTATTATTTTGGAAATTATCTACTTCCGTTATTTTTAATCTAATGATATTTCTACAGGGAAAGAAGAAATTATTTATCAAAATTTGAAATCTGCTGCAGAAGAAACATTAAATTTTAAAGTTTACAGAAGACACGAAATTCCACAAAAATATCATTACGGCAATAATAAACGTGTCGGCCCTATTTTTGTTATAGCAAATGTGGGATATGCATTTCAGAATCTTTATGATACTATTGAGTATTATAAAAAAAAGTTTAATATCACTGGTAACTATTTATTAATATATCAATTATGCTTTGTTTATCACTTATTTATCTTTAGTTAGATATAATAATTGCAATTAATACAAACAGTAATAACAGCAACAACAACAACGACAATAACAATAGTAAGTCTAGTAAGTAAATTAAAAGTAATATCTATTATTTTACAGTCGATAATACATCAGAATTTGGATTACATGGTTATGACAATGAAGCTGTAGAAATGCATCCAATATTCTTTGCGAAAGGGCCTGCGTTTCTTCCTGGTTGCAAACTGAAACCTTTTAAAAATACTGATCTATTTCCTTTATTTTGTAAAATACTCGACATCAAATGTCCTCAAACAAATGGTTCTTTGGCAGATGTAAGTCAATGCCTTCAATCACATCCTAATAATGCAGATGTTTATAATGTATCCATACTACCTTATGGAATTCTATGTAAGTACATATGTACATATATTTTTTATTTTCTTATATTAAATATATACAGGGAGATAAAAAAAGGGTTCGACATTTGAAAGGTCTATGGTATTCATTGAGATGCATAGCAAATGTCTAAATTACGTGGGTCCTAAAATCAACCCTTTTGCCGTATATTAACTTTTATTATTTATGAGCATTTGATACTGTTAACGAGTCAACAATTTATATTATAATTTTTGCATAAAGCTTTAAATGACTTATGTTTGTATTATATTTTCTTTTTATTTTTGAGTGTAGAATACGTTCACAACCCTGTATATATGTATGCAATAACACCAGATGGGGTGTCAGTGATTTATAATTAATTGTGAACATTTCAGTTGCAAGCATTACGTTTGGTATAACGATGATAGGAATTTCTATAGCTCTATTCATCATGGCTATAATAAGGCAGAAAAAAATAAGAAGAAATAACTATAGGTACAGAATTATATAGAATATGACTGGCCTTAGTTTTTATTGCATGTACGTATGTGCAAATATTGAACAATTGAATATACATATTTCCATAGTATATGATGTCATCGTTAAAGCGTTTAATTCTGTTATTCAGAGAAAACATATAAAAAGAATTTTATTATACACTTTAACTAATTATTCTATGGAATAATTAGTTGCTCCATGTATTAACAAGAAGCGATTAGTTAAAGTATGAAATTAAAATTTAATGTCAAGTGTAAGAAAAATATTTTTCCATTTTGTTTTAATACCTGGCTATTCTATACTATTGTAAATTCGAAGACAATAAATATATGTTTCTTTGTTTTATTATTTTTCACATTATCATCTTTCTCAACATATTTGAATGGATTCTGATATAAAAATATTTAGATATGTTTTATAATATAATTAAATAGTACATTTTTTTATATTGTATTTTTTTCTATAAATAATGGTTACTGTATCCATACTGCACTGTTGTAAATCCGAAGAAAAAAATTTGTTTCGAATTTTCTCTTTCCGAGAATTTTTCAAAATAATTAATTTATTTTAATGAATAAATATAGAGCAAAGAAGCGTTTTTTTCAATTATTAATAACTAATTTAATAATTAATTAATAAAGTGAGCAATTATATGGATTTTGCTTGAAGAATTAGTGACCCATTAAGAGCACTTATTAATTTTTTTCTGTTGCTGCGGTTCTACTTTTTTGTGCTGATATTTTTATTTCAATATAGGTTTTGTAATACTTTATAATTGTTAGTAGTTTAATTTGATTACCTACGTTATCTTGTAACGTGACTAGATAACATAGAACGTGATATAGTTAACAGAAGTTAATACCGAAGATATTTTCACTACTTTATCAATAATTAACCGTAGGAACGCTGGCAAGGGAACCTTAACAGCAGAAACCAACGTGATCTTGTAACGTTGGTCGATAACATAGAATTTAATATAGTTGACAGAAATTAATACAGCAGTTATTTTTATCTTAATATATTTTTAGTATTTTTTATGTTGGTTTCTAGTACTTTTAAATAATTTTGCATAAGTTCACTTATTTATAACAACTGATCAATTATATAGAATGAAATATTTAAAATTTAATATATAGTAAGTAATTTTGATTTAAATTGAAAAAAATTATTGTTTTAAACATCTTTCATTTTTATACTATTCTTACTGCTTGTAGACCTCTTATGTGATTTTTTATCCCACATATTTTTATTCGTTCATTTACTTGTTTCATTCTATCCCTTTTGATACATTCATCTCTCACTCTCGCCAATGCTTCTCAGTGCCGGACAGTTGCCTAATAGGTTTATTTTTCATAGTCTTCTTGGAATTAGTAATGTGCAGTCCTTCATTGTTTGATTTTCGTGGGCGCCAACTGATCAGTTGGATTTGATTTTTGTAAAAGATTACGTGAGGAGCATGGCATCAGTCCAAAGAGGAATTTTAAAGGATTATGCTATAGACAAAACCGACTTAAATGATATTCTTTTTTGAACATTATTTACCAAGAACTATATTATTAGATTTAGCATTTATATATATAAAGTAATTCATACACTGTTAGAGGAATTCTCGATTTTAAAAATGTTTTTGATAATGTAACCAGTTCATACAAGCTTGTTATAATAAATGAGAACTACTTGAACGACATTGGTAGGGATGCTGGACGTGATAAGTAGTCATCTTATATGGCTGGTTTCATGTTACGTCTAGACTGACTGGCCACTATATATCGGGTGACAATTATTAATGTTAAAATATATATATGTATATATATATATATTTGTTATCATTATTTAACATCAGAATAATTATTTATCTTACCATGAGAAAATTTGTCCTAAATCGAAAAATAATTTCCCCCCTTTTAAGCCCCTCCCTCCCCATCTCTCAAAAATATACGAAAAAGATATTAATCATAACGATGCGAAATATTTCATTTTTAAAGAGACGACAAATTTAAAAGGCCTTCAAGTTCGATTGATAATAATACGAATTCGAATGAAGTCTCAGGTTTGTAAGTTTGAACGGATCACCCGTTGTATAGCTCGATCGACGCACACCTGGATACGATACAGATACTGTACGAGGAGGATCTTCTTTGTGCTAGTGTGAGCTCGATGCAACGTAGGTAACAAAGTGTAAACCACCATTATTATTAGTCAGACGTGTAATAGGAAGCTAGGACCTAGAGTTAGAGAAAATAGTGAAACACAGTGAACCTTGTTTTTTCGTAATGGGGAAAAAACGAAACGTAAGAACGAACGAATGAACAAACGAACGGTTCTTTTTTGTTTTTTTTTTACGACGAATGATGTTAAATCGGTACCGTGACAGAAAATTGTCGAAAAAAAGAGAAATAAGTGATACGAGAATGTGCAATTGAAAAAATAATAAATGAAAAATGAGACATTTAATTATTAAATGACAAACGTATATAAATGTACAATAAAATAATTGTCATCGTGATTATCAACAGAAATGGGTTATCGCATATGAGGCTTTTAAAAATGGCTCGTAAGAATAATAAGCGACTAACGTGAATTTTCTCTCACAAATCTTATTCCATTTTTACTTTTTTTCTTTTGTTTAATTTTGCTATAATTCTTGGGATACACGAAAGAGAGAGCTGGTTGGTTGGTTGGTTGGTTGGTTAGTTGGTTGGTTGGTTGCTTGCTTGGATCGAATGCAACTCATATTAAATTTCAAAAGAAATTGAAGAAAGTAAGAATGCCTTGTCGGGGTTGAAGCAACGAAATAAAGCGAGAAGAGACACTCTGTGTTGCATGATAGTCTGCGGGAGGAGAAGGAGGTGGAGAAGGAGGTGGAGGAGGAGGAGGTGGAGGAGGTGGTGGAGGTGGTGGTGGTGGATGGAAGAAGCAGAGGAGGAAGAAGAAGAAGGAGAAGGAGAAGCAGAAGGAGGAAGAGGAGGAGGATGAGGATGAGGAAGAGGAGGATGAAGAGGTGGAGGTGGAGAAGGGGAGAGCGACATTCCAGAAGGCGGCGGTGGTGGCGGCGGTTGTTCTCGTGGGAAACCAAAGAGAGAGAGAGGAGAAGAGAAAAGAAAAGAAAAGAAAAGAAAGAGAGAAAAAGAAAGAGAGAAAAAGAGAGAGAGAGAGCGAGAGAGAGTGAGAGAGAGATCTCGTCTCGAGAAGAGAAGAGGTTGCGAGCTTTAAGGCATCGTTCTCATCTCCCGACGTGCGACAAGAGCAGCGAGTTTTCTGTCTGTCTGTCTCTCTCTCTTTTTCTTTTTCTTTAAATCTCTTTCTCTCTCTCTCTCTCTCTTTCTCTTAGTTTTTTTTTTAAGAGAAAGAGAGAGAGAGACTCACCGAATTTATGAATTAGCAAGGGGTGTCGGCGTGCCGGCCATTCCGAAGGATTCGGGATATGCCCGAAAGGTTTTCGCGCAGGAAGGAAACCTTATGATTGACGTCTCGAAAGAAAAATTCGAAATCATCGGACAACGACGAATACGAATACGACGAAACGAGAAATGGGAACGTCCGAACTTTTTCGTTCTCGTTTTCTGAGTCCTTAAATCTTTAATCATCTAATGTTCTAATATCCATAAGAAATTCTACAACTTAAATTATTATCTAATATCTCAAGTATTGGAATTAGATTTTTCGACGATGCTTATTGTCTGTCCTTTTTTTTCCTTTCATTTTTGGCGAATCTTATTTTAAAAAAAAAAAAAAAAGGGTGTGCATGTTTTTTGTAACTAATAATAATTTATAATTATTTCTTCCAAAAGAGAGAATTTCTTTTTCTTTTCCTTTCGTTTTTTGTTCTTATTGGCAGACGTACAAAGTGAATATTCTTCTTCTTCTTCTTCTTGTTCCTTTAGCGTAAACGTTGAAAATAAAGTTGATCGTTAATTACGGACGATATTTATAATGACGAAGATACGAATTTATTACGAATTAATTCGTTGTGCATTTATCTATTAATGTATGTATAGAAGTTTTCAAACGCGAGCCGGTCCCGTCTACGGGAAAACGTCACGGTGATGCATCCGATCGGACGTAACTGGACACCGGTGTACCGGTATCGGTGACTTACGAGCGCTCTAAGAAAAAGAGCCGATGACAAAGCGATCGTGTCCTTCGACTTCTGCAAAACAAGAGCATCGATTAACTTACGTTAGTCGTTGTTCTATGAAAATCAATTGCATTATCTTTTAAATGTATGGGTCTACACGGTATATGTGTGTAGAAAAAATGTTTATTACGAATAAACTGATATCTTTACCGTTGTTAATTGTTAGAGATGCAAACTGTGTATGTGAGTGCATAGCAACTGGAGTTAACTCACATATCGTAATTCAATTTTTCTTATGCTTATCTGTGAATACATGCATAAATAATATGTTTAATTCGTAATTTATATATTCTATATAGAAACTCTACATTTATTATTATATGCATAACTTTTCTAAAAAATTGCATAGATTTGTTTAGATAGAAAAAAAAAAAAAAATAAAAGAAAATCAAATAACTTGAAAAACCAATTTAATAATTTTCCATCGTATTAATTAACGATTTAATTTTATGATAAAAATGAAGTGTAACAATTGTTTCACACACCTAAAGATTAATATAATAGTTTCGTATATTCTACGAGACTGCCTTTATTTAAAAGAAAAAGAAAATAAAAGAAAAGGAAAGAAGAGAAGGAGGTGGAGGAGGAGGAGGAGGAGGAGAAAAAAAGAAGGGGTCTAAGGGAATAAGGGAATCTCGTGAAAAATCGTGAAACGCGTGCAGATTCGAAGCGTCCTCGTTCCTTACCATATCCTTATCTCTCTCTCTCTCTCTTTCTCTTTCTTTTTCTACTTTCTTTTTCTTCGTCCCTTTAACTCGAGCCTCGAGGACGGCTCTCACGATGGTATACGGCGGCAATAAAGTGCCTCATTATTATTATTACCCTCGTAAGTCACGGCGTGCCTCTGGAGGCGCGTTGGTAATTACGCGATAATCGTGCGCCGACGTTGTCATCGACAATGACGTATACTCGTCCTTGCATTACATGCGTATCTTTATATGTATTATATATACACACACACATACACATATTTTTGTATATATATATGTATTTATTGTAAGCTCAATAGCTCAATGTTTCCTCCAAGTTGTTGGAAAAGTATCTCTGTTCTACTATGTTTTATGATTTATATATTTATCTTTTTAAAAAAAAGAAAAAAAAAACAAAGAAATCTTCCATCAAACGAAACATCATTTTTTCAATTAATTTCTAATTGGCAATTTAAAGTTTCCCCAATTGCGAATTTATAATATCATCGAAATAATTATTG